TGCCTGAAACGAGTCGTCACTAATTCCAGTCTTAAGCCCTATTCGGACGGGATTAGTTTTGCAAGGGTAGATGGAGTAATGCCATTTTACCATGGGACGTCTGTAATAATAATTCGCCAATTCGCACAGGAAAATATATCACAGTAAAACTATCAGAAATGGAAAGGATAACTTAATTTACGCACCCCCGTCACATTCCTTATGTCATTATGTGCGTATTACGTTGCTTCCTAACGTATTACAGTTAGGTCCAGTCAAATGTTGTATTATTTAACTTCAGATCATGCTGGTAATAGGCACTCACATAACGCTAAAAGAAGTTTCGTGTCTCTAAACAGTGCTATCGATCTTCTTTCTGATCTGAATGGTGTGTGGAAAACACTTGAACACAACTGAATGCTTTTTCAAGCTTGGAAAACTGTGTAAACTGCTTTTAAACAGGAAATGATGGAATACTTATGTACATATTTACAGCGGGTTTATTTGCACGGGATCAGTGCAAAGTGATCTCAGGTGCAAATGACCTGAGGTCATTTTTGTGGAGCTTCTTACTGAAGGTGAAAGTCACTGTAATCTTTATCTCAATCATTGTCCGTAATGATTACTGAGATGGCACATTCGGACGGGACTAAAATCACTGAGAAGCTCTGGTGGTAATAATCCTTCACCGCACCTCTCTATGTTAGACTAGTCCTGTCCAAATAGGGCTTTACTTCCTGCACAAACCAAACAAATTTGCATAATGCAGGCCTATGGTCTTCATTGGCTGTCTGCGAGCGACGTCTACTTTGACCCTCACTGTAACTGTACAAGAGTTCAGTTCGTGTTGTCAACATGTCAAGAATACACTGTTTTCTGCTGCCGAAGACATGCATTTTCAAAGGTTGAGGACTCGGGCTGGAATTGATACGATAAAACCAACACAAACATTACTGTTCCAATCACTGTGTATAAAGTGCTGAAATACAGATATGATATTGACTGTTTAATTTCCCACACACGCTTCAAGCGTCAACAATCACAACAGACTGGGCCATCTGACCAATAAGAGCAGAGGAAGATCTTGGGAAGGAGAGGCATGTATAGAGACTAAATCCTTTATCAAACCGTTTAGACCAGACATGTCCAATCCTGCATACTAGAAACTTCCCGCCAGGTGTGTTGAGGCTAGTCGGAGCTAAACACTGCAGGATAGTGTCTCCAGAACCAAGTTTGGACACCCCTGGATTAGACACTGTAAAGAAATCAGAGATTTTGCAATGTATGAGAAAATTAATCTGTTCTTTCTTCGTCTTTTGATGCATGTAAACCTATTTTAGGAGAACTCCTAAACAAAATGAGCAAACCTTAAAACGGCATAGTAGGGGCACTTTAAAATTGCTGTGCATAAGGACCCCAAATCATGCACAGAAAACATTCATGTCCATTTGAGGAACCTTGATTTGGTGCAAGAAGTGACAACGCATTCTCACCCCAAGGCGTCACCTTTGACCATGCTTCAATATTTGACGTTTTAGGCGCCCTTTAGCGTCACTTACGTGACGCGATCCTACGGCGTCATCTAACTGAGAAAGGAAAGCGTCAGTTAGAGGACGCGGTTAGGTTTAGGTGTGGGGTGGGGGTAGGGTACACGCGATCCTAGGGCGTCATCTAACTGACGCTAAAGGGCGCCTAAAGCGTCAGATATTGAAGCATGTCCAAATGCTTCCCAAGGCGTCAGTTAAGTGACGCCTTGGGGGTGAGAATGGGCTGGAAGTGACCATGAACACATGCCAAATAGAGAGAATGCTTATAGAAGACCTTCTTGGAGTAACGAATAACAACACATGACTTTGACAAACATGAGATGACACCGCTCAACCATCCTCCAATTGGAGAGCAGGAGTCATGTTCAGAACAGCACACTTACTATTTGTACTCTTTATGCAGTATATAGTATGTATACTGTGTACAGTATGCAAATTGTATGTACAGTAGGCATGGGATACCCAGATTGATGTTATACATTTAGCAACAGTATGCTTAACCTTCCATTTCTAGAATGACGGACAAAAAAAAAATAAAAATCTAGTTTGACGTCTCTATTCCGGAGGTGTCAAAATTCACAGATTCAAAACAACTGCATTGTTTGACAATACCTAGACACCACTCCCATGCAACATGAAGACGTCACATGCCAACAATTGCATGCAACTGTGTGAAAAGTTTCTCGCTGCATAGTGCATACTGTTTCACACACTACTTCTAAAAATGTATGCAATATCCGTTTTATACTACTACTAAGGTAGTATTCTGTTCTGAACATAAACTGTGTCTGAATTCGCCACATTACCCTCATTCACTAAAATGATATGCTGGCTTTAATATACTTTTTATGTCAACAGGTTCCATAAATTAACTTTTTTATGTCAACAGGTTGCACATAACTGGGTTACATTAAACAAACATCATTTGTTCATATAACTTCAACACATTCAAATAAATGATATGTTGGCTTTAATGTACTTTTTTATGTCAACAGGCTGCACATAACTGGGTTATGTTGAATCAGTGTTTAAGTTAATGAGATAATTGAGTGAATAATTTAGTGATGATTGAGCATTATTTAAGACACCTGATGTTAATAAGCAGAATCACTGAAGGAGAAAACTGGAATCACCATTATGGTGATCGGTGTTTGTTTTAGTTGGGCTCTTGACCCTTACATCATTAACTTTATATTTTGTTTGGCTGCTGTATCTGATTTATAACAGCCATATAAACAAATATAAAATGTGATCTGATGTTGTTGGTTGTGTTTTAACATAATCATTATATCACAATTGTTTAGACTAGAACCCTATTTCTGACTAAAACAGTACTGTTATTGTAGAGAATACCATTTTTTTAACCTTTTCAATGAAATCCAAATGATCAAATCAATAAAAAAGAAACTTCTTAAAAAAATTATGTAGACATTAAGAACATAATACACAGACTGTGAATCTCAATAATGGTGACAAATATAAAGCATGTTGCAGTGCATTCTGGGTGCCACACATCAAAACTCATTCATGGCTCCCATCATGCATTTCTGCATGAATAAATAATGAGCTTTTGTTCAGAGTTGATCTGTTTGTCACCATTGCTGAGATTCATACGCTAATTATTGACGTCTGTCTCTGCATACAAATGTTGGTTTTTTAAAGATGTTTGTTTTTATTGATTTGATCATTTGGATTTCATTGAAAAGGCTAAAAATGGTGTGCTCTACAATGACAGTGCTGCTATAATCCATAAGGTAAACTTAAACATATTTTTTTGAGTGCTGAGTACGCTGGAAGGGCTGCCGATTGCATAGTTTGTGCTTGATGTTTAAAGGGATAGTTCACTTTGAAAGAAATTTTTGTTATGTTTTAGCTTACCTCAAGGGTATCCAAGATGTAGGTGTCTTTGTTTCCACAGTATTTTCAATTTTGTCATTTTTCAGTCAAATCGTTGTTGTCTGCCAGTCATATAATGCAGGTATGGGGGTCCACGTCAAAGAGCATGCACCGAGAAGACAAGATTAAACATGATTTAATGACTTGTAAATGTAAGTACACACTGATGGCCTAAGACACGAAACGAGCGGTTTGTGTGAGAAAACGAACAGTATTTATATCGTTTTTACCTCGTGTTACCACAGCCATGTCGAACTGATCTGAATCAGTTGTCTAATGTTCAACTGAATCATGTCCAACGTTCCGCCGAAAGTGATCGCTTGCGCGTCTACGTCACTCATTGTTTACACAGAGATTTCGGAAGTAATACCTTTCACAGTGAAGATCTAAACATATTTAGATATACAGGAAATCGCAATGGAAGACGATTTCGATATATCTAAATATGTTTAGTGAAAGGTAAAACTTCCGAAACTTTCATGGCTGTGGTAACACGAGGTAAAAACAATATAAATACTGTTCGTTTTCTCACACAAACCGCTCGTTTCGTGTCTTAGGCCATCAATGTGTACATACGTTTACGAGTCATTAAATCATGTTTAATTTTGAATTTTCTGTGCATGTTCTTTGATGTGGACCCACATACCTGCATTATATTACTGGCAGACAACAACGGTTTGATCGAAAAATGACAAAATTGAAAATACCGCAGAAACAAAGACACCTACATCTTGGATGCCCTTGAGGTAAGCTAAAACATAACAAAAATTAATTTCAAAGTGAACTATCCCTTAAATAATCATCTGAAACTTAGCAAAGCTCCAGAAGTAAAGAAAGAAGTAAAGGAAGTTTTGCTTAAGGGAATAAGGGGCGATTTCAGACACAGCCATAGATATTCTAGTTCCACCACTTCCTGGTTTGAGGTTGACATTGAGTCTGCTGCCCTCTGTGGTCACTGTGGGATTTGCATACAATACAGATGGCCTGAGGAATTAAGGGCTACATGCTCCATAGCACATGCTGCAATGCGTAAAGACATGGACATCAAGACGATACCTAATAGAATAATCAGCGCAACAAGGCGTGGACTGATGGTGAGACAGTAAGAGGAAAACCGGATAGCCTGTTGTGAGTCATATTCTGTTTAAACACAGTGACACTGGACGAGTACCCCGTAACTGCACACTGAATCTGTTATATGAACTTTGTACTAAAATACAGCAGAATGGCCTCATGAATAACTGTTCAGTTGGATATTATGCTATTAGGAGTATTATATACTCATGTCTGTAATATCATTTTAAATGTAATCTGCACAAATAATGTGTATCCTGTACTTGCATAACTGATGGGTCATTTCTTTGTTCAAATCTGTTTGTAAGTATGTATATTATTTTTAAATATTTGCAAACAGATATTAGTAGTGAGCAAGCTGTTCCCCTCCTGGCAGATAAGATCAATATATATATGTACAGTGTGGATATTTTTACTAAGATTTTTTTGATTTTAAACAAGACTGCATTGCACATCTTCAGGGAAAGTCGTTCATATTAAGTCTCTGGCGTTTTTGCCATGTTATTAGATCGGACAATCAGAGCTGCCTCCAAAGGTGTGTTGTCCTCCAGTCAGGTGATCAGATTTCCTCAACGTAATTGGCCGGGTATAAGCCTGTCCGGCCGCTGTCCAGGCGACCTCTGCACCAGCCCTGGTCATCTTCCTCTTCGATCTTTGATAATTCATCACCTGTGGGTGATACATATTATAACTGACATACCTGCCATATTTATATCATAAATCTAGGGATGCACCGAAATTTTGCCAACCAAAAATGATCGGCTGAAAATGGCACCAAAATTTGAGCCGAAAATAAATGTCGCCCCACCTTTCAATGTCCAGTGCTCAGGTTTCACTCTCGCGCAGAATTTTTGTAACTTTGCGAGCAGCTACCCTTCTGAAGACGCACAATTTCAAATCAACTCAGGCCGAGCAGGGCAGGACAGTCTGTACCAGCACCCAGTACAGCTGCTCACGGCCCGAGAACACGCTCCTGTACCGCTCGCACTCACCGGAAAAGCAAAGTCTGCTCAAATGCCGACATGAAATTTCTCTGAAGTAGATTTGGTTCTGTTTGCAATAGCCCAACTGCTGAATTATGGTGTGTATAGCCATGCTGGACAACGCTGGTAAAACGATGCTACAATCTGTAGACAAATGTAAAGTAACAGGCTTGACGGTATACATAAAACATAACTAATATAATTCATTAATAAAATGTATATTTGTTAAAGCTACAAATGTAATTTTCTCTTTCACTTTTGTTGTTTGATCAACATTGGTACATTAAGCTGTTCTCTCTTTAAAATAATTGCACAGACCTAATATAAATGACATGCATCTGTTTTCTTTCTCAATTGTTTACATTACAAGACATAACCGACTGTATTTACAAGGATACTTGCCGAGATGGGCATTTTCACTTCATTTTGCGTGTACGTGTCCATTTAAGCTCAAAAGAAAGAAAGAGAACTGAATTGGCCATTCACATGCTGTCTGCACGGCTCTGTGCGCACGCACAAAACATCAAAAACAGAAAACGCCTTGGTTACATATGGTAACCCTCGTTGCCTGAAGGAGGGAACGGAGACGTAGGCCATGACTGACCAATAGGAATCTCGCTAGAGAGGCCAATCTACTTTGACTGAAACAAAAAAAGCCAATTCACATTGGCGTGCAATCATTTGCATCAGCTGTGCAGCCTCGCAGCGCTGGTATTTAACGAGCAGCTGTTGCGATTGAACAATAGTTTTTTGCTGAGGAGCCAAGCCTGAAAAAGCTAACCACCCCAGCGGGCGGCACCAGATGAGGCAACGGGACCAACATCTCCGTTCCCTCCCTCAGGGAACGAGGGTAAACGAGACGTTCCCTATCGGTCAGTCACTACAACGTAGGTCATGACTGACCAATAGGAATCCCTACCAAAGTGCCACAGCTGGAAGCCTCTACAACTTCTTGCCTGGAAAGACGATAGGAGGAGGCTTACACAGAATGAGACTAACACTATTGTTCCATGAACCATACAGTGAGATATTGGAAAACAGACAGAGTCGGGCTTCTACCCGTCTAAGGCGAGAACACGGGAGGAGACCGGCTCTACACGTAGGCTATAATATCTAGCGTGTTAGGCATTGTAATACCCAGCCCGCAGCTCTACAGATATCTGTTAGCGAGGAGCCACGTGCCAGTGCCCAGGAGGACGCAACGCCTCTCTCTGAGTGTGCAAACAACCAGAGCGGGCAGTCCATTATCCAGTGGGCCATCCTCTGCTTGGAGACAGCCTTTCCCTTCTGCTGGCCTCCGTAACAGACAAAGAGCTGGTCTGAGGTCCTGATGCTTTGAGTTCTGTCCACATACATACGCAAAGCGCGAAAGGGACAGAGCAAAGCCAGGGCTGGGTCTGTCTCCTCCAAAGGCAGCGCTTGCAGGTTCACGAGTGGTAGGAACCTTGGGCACATAGCCAGGCTGGGGTCTTAATACCACATGGTTGTCACCTGGCCCGAACTCTAGGCACGATTCGTCAACCAAAAATGCGTGCAGGTCTCCTACTCTCATGACAGAGGCCAGTGCAACCAGCAGCAAAGTCTTCAAGGAAAGAAGTCTACTGGTTGCAGAGGCTCAAAGGGAACATTCTGAAGTGCTCGAAGCAGGACACCCCCGGCAACGAGCAGACTGAGGAGCCGTGGGTGGTGGGGTGGAGGTAGCAGCTGACCGCCGCAGCAGGGTGTGTCTGATGGCCTCAGTCTGCTTCTGTACAGCCGAGAACTGCTCGGCAAAGTTCTTGACCGCATCGCCAAAGAGGCCGGTCTGGGACACAGGGGAGTTATGGAATGAGAGCTTGTTGGTCTCTCTAATGTCGGCACAGCCAGACACAGCCAGAGATAGGGTTCCTGGACCGCTAGTGTGGACATCGCAGGACCCACCAGCCAGGCGGTAACCTTCGTCACACGAAGCCCAAGGTCCATTGCAGCACGAAGTTCCTGGAGAACTTGTGGATCGTGACCACCCTCGTGCAGCTCCCTCAGTGCCTTGGCCTCTATAGTGTGCATGGCAGAGGAAGCTTCCCCACAGGCAGATGAAAACCTAAACGCCGAGAAGGAAGACGCGGTTCTTCGCGCCAAGTGGAGTTAGGGCACAGCTGCATTGCAGCGGCCCGCTCCACTGGCAGGATACGTGTGTATCCTTTAGCTGCCCCACTATCAAGGGTGGTGAGGGAAGAGGAGCCACCGGAATGGTTTCTGGCAGTGAAAGGTGCCATCCACATCCCTGTGAGCTCCTCATGCACCTCCGGGAAGAAAGGCACTGGAGTGGGTTGCTGAGAACCAGCATGTGCCACCCCAAGATACCAATCAACCAGCCTTGAGGTTTCGGGACATGGTGGAGGGTTCCACATGAGCCCGATCCAGTGGGCGGTCTGGGAAAGCATGGCCATCATCTCCGGGAGACTTCTGACGCTCCCTCCGATGCAGTGATCGACATCTGGTCATAGTGGGGAGCACCAAACGAAACGACTGGTACACACCTCGAAGATGGTCCAGCACGTTCAGTTGGTAGCTCTACTGGCTGCCGAGCATGAGAGGGGTGAGGGTTCCTCGGGGGTTGGTTCCCCAAAGGTAGCTCGCCGTTGAGCACTTTAAACGCACACCTCACCAGCCGTGAAAACAGCTTTTCAAAAAGCTAGTGTGCAATCGCAACAGCTGCTCATTAAATACCCGCGCTGCGAGGTTGCACAGCTGAAGCAAATGATTGCACACCAATGTGCATTGGCTTGTTTTAGTTTCACTCGAAGTAGATTGGCCTCTCTAGCGAGATTCCTATTGGTCAGTCATAACCTACGTTGTAGTGACTGACCGATAGGGAACCTGAAGTCGTCTTGCGCTTGATGCCTGACTCAACTTAAAAACACATGCAAGTGATAAACTTTCACTCTATGATGGTTAAACTTTGCACATAATTCGCAAATCAAATATTTCAGATTTTAAAATATATTTTGTGACTTTACATAAAAGTGTAATTATTATATTTGATTGGCTTGTATTTTTTATTTATTAGGTTTTATTTGGCTTGTATTTTTTTATGATTATGTTTTATTTTATTTTTTTTTTTTTTTTTTTTTTAAGTACTCAAAAATTTTTGGTTTCAGCCCAGAATTGTCATGTCGGTGCATCCCCACAAAAATCATGTGGTCTAAATGGACGGCATTCTACTTAAAGACTTGTTTTCAGAGAATACATCTTGAATTATTTCTTACCCAAGTGGGAAATAGTTTTTCTTGTTGTAGGCCAATATTTTAAACAATTTAGTAATGTTCCTTGACACCAGAAAAACAACCTTTTGTAAAACTTCTTTGTAAAAGACCCGTTTGGGTTTTTTTAACTACATTTTAATGAAGTTAAAGGCCTCAAGTCTTCATAAGTTGTGTTTCTTAAAACAAGCACTTTCAAAAAAAAGTTTTACTTTAAAATAAAATTTAAATCATGTTTTAATCTTTTGTTGTGCTTTAAAGAAGTGCACTTATTTTGATGTGTTTGACTAACATACATGTAAAGTACTGATGCACTTATGATTGTAACTGTTGTGTTGTTCGACATTATATTTAAATTTACCATATTGTAAATGTACCATTTTGCACCTTCATCATTACAAATGTGTAATTATACATTTATTTAAAAACATGACAAACAAGTTTGTTTTGTTTTGGTCCAGTTTGCATTAACATCACTAATGACACCTAACATCAGTTTTTTTTTTATTATTTGAAACTGCACTTTACCTGCTTTGAAGCTCAGCTCATCCTGCTCTTGGCCTTCATAGTCATACAGCGCCCGCACTCGCACGCCTCCTCTGCTGACCGTGTCATCCTCGAAAGAGTTTCCCCCGCCGTTCGTCTCGTTCCCCGAGTATCCGGCGGGCTGATCGTCATCGGACCATTCTGTGGAGTACGCCTGGTTCTTATCATAGCTGCTCACACTAGACAGAGACAGGGGACATGTGCTGTTAGCATGATATACAGCAACCGCTTACACTTCAGGTTCTACACTTTGGTTGATGGTTGATCAACAAGGTTGAGAACCTTCCTATGGTCCTAAGGTTATTTAGAAAGCCATTGTTGTACTGTTAAAGAAAGCAAAACAAGAGTGCTCAAGGGGTGGATGAAATGTAATGTTCATAATCATTTTAATGGGGATTTAAAAATAAGCAGTGCTGTGAACACTGAAATGATTTATGTATTTGCTGTGTAGCTTTCTAAAGAGCAGTGTTCGAATTGAGGAGAACTTGGGGGTTAAACATTAAAACTAGAGTGCTAGAAACATGAAACTATTATTTATTTATTTATTGTAAAATCATTGTGCTGCTGACACAAAGCTACATTGTCCTTTATTTGTCCCAGAGATTTTTGTCTGGAAAAAACACGCTCAAGTGCGCCACACGCTGTTTTCTGAAGTCATTTACAGACAGTGATGTCACTGAGTGAAACATTGGCTGGGGAATCCTCGTTTTCACTAAATGATGATGGATTCTTTGTTTAATGATTGTTTGGTACACATGATTTACTGATATTCAGCATTTATCTTAGAGCAGAACAGTCACTAGGTTATTATAATTTTGATATTCAAGTAGTCCTTCTGTATCTTATTCTAGCTCACTCTCTGACAGATGTAATTGGTTATCTAATGTAATTCTGAGACAAATAAAATCTCAGTTGTAGCTAGCAACCCATTCTGAATTAAAGGGGGGGTTGATTGTGATTTCACTTTTTTCATTTTAAATATTGTGTAATGTTGCTGTTGGTGCATGAACAGTATCTGCAAAGTTGCAGCGCTGAAAGTTCAGTGTAAGCAGAGATACCGTCTTTTTAAAATCAGGAAGTTTAAAGCCTACAAAAACGACTCGATTGGGACTACAGCTGGGTTTTAGACGTCACTAACCCATACATTTGCATCAACCCTCCCTCCGGAATATGCAAAAAAGGGCATGGCCATATTTCTGCGGCTCGTCCAGTGAGTTGTGTTCACCCAGCTGTCAGGTCGTCTGTGTTCAAGCTTCCCACGGACGCTGTACTTCGTCAACAATGGATTCAATTTATGTTTGATTATGTTCCTGAAAATGACGATCGTAATTTAGCTCTCTGTGCTGCGGCTGCGCATTTTATGGAAGACAGCTTCCAGAATCTCCACGAATTCAATGCCGGATTCAACAAGAAACTGTTACTAAAACATGAAGCAGTTCCAACTTTAAAACCAGAGGCAGCAGTTGTTGAGCCACAACCTGTAAGTAGGCTAACACTTAATCATTTTAAATGGATTTGCATGTATAATTTCAGACGTAGCCTTGTGTTTTATTTTTTTGAAATGCCAGCGCTGGCTTTATAGCCACTAGGCTACGAGTTATGCTATTTTGTGTCTACGCCAAATGTGTACAAACATTATGGACCTGAATTTTGTATAAGTACTAATGTTGTAAATGTATTTTTCATGTATATATACTTTATGACGTTATTTTCGATTTGATCAAGAACGTAAACGAGTGCCAATACTGCAGACTGATACTGCAGTCTCGACACCATTATTTACATGATTGGACCTGAGGACATGCACGTTTCGCCCGTAAAGGTAATGGGCGTGAACCTTCCGGACAACGTGAGCTACAGTTTAGCCAATCACAACACACCAGCCCGAACTAACCAATCTGAGCCCACTGCCTGTTTCTGAGGAAGTGGTTTCATAGAATCAGGAAGTCAACCAGTCGTTCAAAGGACAGAGGAGGAAGCGGCTTACAATAAAGGTGAAGTTTATCAAAATTAAGACTTTTAAAAAAAGAAAAACCACGAATACATGTTATATTGCACCCCATAAACACAATCATGCAAAGAAAAAAAGCATTAAACCCCCCCTTTAAACAACTCTGTGATTTTTAAATCTCGTAACCTATTCAAAGACAGTGTTAATTTCATTAACAATATGAATTAATATGAATTATAACAAAATTTTAATTAAAACAAACAAACAAAATAAGAGATTGCCCTGTGTAAGATGTATTTTAGGTCAGATCCCTCAGAGATCAGAGTTAGCGGGCACAGTTAAATGCTTTAAATTGCTGCAGTTATGTAACCAAGATAAATTATGAAAGTAAATAAAATGCATAAAATGAGCATACATATTTTAATTAAGTATATCAATTAACATAAAATTAATAATGACTAATAATGTATTCATTGACTAACATGTTCTGAAACTGACAATAAAAAAAGAAAAGTATGTGTATATTAAGAAAAGAAAGTATATTATACGTATATGTATAGATAAGAAACGTATATTATCAGGTTGAGATTTTTTTTTTTAAGGGGGAGTTTAGGGTTTGACACAATTTGAACACTGCTTAAGAGTCAAATGTAATCCCTAAATATTTTAAATAATTTTTGCCACAATACACTCCAAATTACTGCTTAAATAGTTCATAGTGAGAATTGGACACTAAACTAAAGTGTTACCAACATTATTATTTTATTTAAATTTTCATCATTATAATGCATTATAGCATAATTGCCTAAGTCATTTTGTGTTTTTTCTTGTTTTCCAAAGACATTGAAATATGACTTAGGCAATAATGCTATGAGGCTAACAAAATGATAAACAAACCCTGTATGGCCAGAAACTATTGTTAATCAGAAGTGAGTTATTTGTTGAACTTCACAGAATCTTTATTTGAACGAGTAAAGGGGACGTCAATCAACCTCTAAAAAGAAAGAAGGATATTCTCAATGAAAGAAAGGACGCCAAGAACCGATGGGAAAGCAGAAATGACGCCTGACCTGCCGCGGTCGCCGGCTTGACCCGCATGCTCTGTGTTTGGAGTAGCAGGAGCCACTCCGTCTGGCTTCTTCTTTTCTCTCTTGGCAACAGGGTTGGCGGCGTCTGCATTATATTCCTGAGAGAAACACATTCACAACAGAAAATCTGTTTCAATACACACAGCATTCCATTTTCCAAAATCTTTCAGAAAAAAAAAATCATTAAAAACACCAGCATAGTCAAACTTTTCTGAAATATGAAATCAAAATTAATAAGAAAAGCACATATTTAATAGATTATGTGCATTTAAAATGTGTATTTAATGGCTTATTAGCAAACCGTAAACAAAACATGTGAAACAAAATTCATAAAACAGCAGAAAATGAAAAGGTAACAAATTAAATCTTGTATTTTTTTTTAACAAGGTTTAAGAAACCAACATGAAAACTTCTAGAGTGCAACTGGACCTCTGGCTTAAAGCCTTAGTGGAATATTAAAGTCAGTGATAACTTTCTCATGTGACCACTAACCCCGGTTTCTTGTACCTTAGAAGCACACTAGACAAGGTCACACAACTGTTAAAACCTCTTTGTTCATTCAGAGTTGTGTACCTCAAACTGGGGCCAGTTCATATGCATGCCAGGGCCGTGATTATTACTGAACCACTTGAGATCCTCTTGTGTGTTGGAAGCCAGAATGGTGCGTTCAAACTCGCGGTACACTGACGCATAGCTATGGCATGGAAAACACAAAAACACAAACTTAACATTAAGCTCTGACAAATGCATTACAGCTAGACAACAAGTCTACTAGACCAGCGGTTCCAATCCAGGACCCACAATCTCAAAACCCACCAAAATATTTATGAATAAAATATTTTAAGAAAACGTGATGAAATGTGTGTGCGCTGGTAGAGTATATGAAATATGTTCACAAGCTTGAAACGCACTCTCTTCAGTCTATATATGACCTGTGAACTCGCGGTGTTCAGTGTGGAAAGCGATCTTATACTCGTTCGGTGTGCATCTAAAAGGCTTTTCACAGACATACAGTGCATCCAGAAAGTATTCACAGAGCTTCACTTTTTCCACATTTTGTTATGTTATAGCCTTATTCCAAAATGGATTAATTATTTCCTCAAAATTCTACAATACCGCAAAATGACAACGTGAAAGAAATTTGTTTGAAATCTTTGCAAATTTATTTAAAATAAAAAAGGGAAAAAAATACTCAAGTATTCACAGCCTTTACTTTGACACTCAAAATTGAGCTCAGGTGCATCCTGTTACCACTGATCATCCTTGAGCTGTTTCTACAACTGGATTCGAGTTCACCTGTGGTAAACCCAGTTGATTAGACATGATTTGGAAAGGCACACACCTGTCTATATACAGTATAAGGTCCCATAGTTAACAGTGCATGTCAGAGCACAAACCAAGCCATGAAGTCCAAGAAATTGTCTGTAGACCTCTGAGACAGGATTGTTTTGAGGCACAGATCTACGAAAGGGTACAGAAATATTTCTGCAGCATTGAAGGTCTGAATGAGCAGTGGTGGGCAGATCGAGGCTTTGAGAAACACTGAAACAGTTGAAGCAAATGTGCCGTATTGTGTCAAGGCTTCGAAACACTCCGTATCCATGGTGACCCCTAGTGGTCAGAACAGTGTTAATGCAACAAAACAAAAAACAAAAATTGAAAGTAAAATCATTTTGTTAGATTTTGTTAGTTCTATGAATGGCTCAGCTGAACAGGCCAATAAGATACCTTTAACTACCCTTATTTTTTGGATTATATAATTTTTTTATATATATTTTAATTATACTAATGTCTAATCAAATAGTCTACAAATGTGTAAAACTGATCAGAGATCAAGTAAACCCCACAGACACTTGTTCAATGGTTCTCAGTAAATCCTCATGATTTAGTGGTTGACAGAGATAATCGTCCACGGCAACCATCTCTGCAGCACTCCACCAATCAGGACTGAGAACCTTCTGGAAGATCAACCATCTCTGTAGTACTCCACCAATCATGTCTGAGAACCGCTCTGCATTTCAGACCTGAGAACCTTCCAGAAAATCAACAATCTCTGCAGCACTCCACCAATCAGGCCTGAGATTCTTCCAGAAGATCAACCATCTCTGCAGTGCTCCACCAATCAAGCCTGAGAACCGCTCTGCATTTCAGGCCTGAGAACCTTCCAGAAGATTACCAATCTCTGCAGCGCTCCACCAATCAGGTCTGAGAACCGCTCTGCATTTCAGGCCTGAGAACCTTCCAGAAGATCAACAATCTCTGCAGCACTCCACCAATCAGGCCTGAGAATCTTCCAGAAGATCAACCATCTCTGCAGTGCTCCACCAATCAAGCCTGAGAACCCCTCTGCATTTCAGGCCTGAGAATCTTCCAGAAGATCAACCATCTCTGCAGCGCTCCGCCAATCAGGCCTGAGAACCACTCTGCCAATCAGGCCTGAGAACCTTCCAGAAGATCAACCATCTCTGCACCACTCCACCAATGAGGCCTGAGAACCTTCCAGAAGATCAAACATCTCTGCAGCGCTCCACCAATCAGGCCTGAGAACCGCTCTGCATTTCAGGCCTAAGTACCTTCCAGAAGATCAACCATCTCTGCAGTGCTCCACCAATCAAGCCTGAGAACCCCTCTGCATTTCAGGCCTGAGAATCTTCCAGAAGATCAACCATCTCTGCAGCGCTCCGCCAATCAGGCCTGAGAATCACTCTGCCAATCAGGCCTGAGAACCTTCCAGAAGATCAACCATCTCTGCACCACTCCACCAATCAGGCCTGAGAACCTTCCAGAAGATCAAACATCTCTGCAGCGCTCCACCAATCAGGCCTGAGAACCGCTCTGCATTTCAGGCCTAAGAACCTTCCAGAAGATCAACCATCTCTGCAGTGCTCCACCAATCAGGCCTGAGAACCTTCCAGAAGATCAACCAAATCTGCAATGCACCACCAATCAGGCCTGAGAACCTTCCATAAGATCAACCATCTATACAGCGCTCCACCAATCAGGCCTGAAAACCTTCCAGAAGATCAACCATCTCTGCAATGCTCCACTAATCAGGCCTAAGAACCGCTCTGCCAATCAGACCTGAGAACCTTCCAGAAGATCAACCATCTCTGCAATGCTCCACCAATCAGGCCTGAGAACCTTCCAGATGATCAAGCATCTCTGCAGCACTCCACCAATCAGGCCTGAGAACCTTCCAGAAGATCAACCATCTCTGCAGTGCTCCACCAATCAGGCCTGAGAACCTTCCAGAAGATCAAAAATCTCTACAGTCCTCCACCAATCAGGCATGAGAACTGCTCTGAATTTCAGGCCTGAGTACCTTCCAGAAGATCAACCATCTCTGCAGTGCTCCACCAATCAGGTCTGAGAACCTTCCAGAAGATCAACCATCTCTGCAGCGCTCCACCAATCAGGCATGAGAACCTTCCAGAAGATCAACCATCTCTGCAATGCTCCACCAATCAGGCCTGAGAACCTTCCATAAGATCAACCATCTATACAGCGCTCCACCAATCAGGCCTGAGAACCATCCATAAGATCAACCATCTCTGCAGTGCTCCACCAATCAGGTCTGAGAACCTTCCAGAAGATCAACCATCTCTGCAGCGCTCCACCAATCAGGCCTGAGAACCTTCCATAAGATCAACCATCTATACAGCGCTCCACCAATCAGGCCTGAGAACCATCCATAAGATCAACCATCTCTGCAATGCTCCACCAATCAGGCCTGAGAACCTTCCAGAAGATCAACCATCTATACAGTGCTCCACCAATCAGGCCTGAGAACCTCCTAGAAGATCAGCCATCTCTGCAGCGCTCCGCCAATCAGGCCTGAGAACCTTCCAGAAGATCAACCATCTCTGCAGCGCTCCACCAATCAGGCCTGAGAACCTTCCAGAAGATCAACCATCTCTGCAATGCTCCACCAATCAGGCCTGAGAACCTTCCAGAAGATCAACCATCTCTGCAATTCTCCACCAATCAGGCCTGAGAACCTTCCATAAGATCAACCATCTATACAGCGCTCCACCAATCAGGCCTGAGAACCTTCCAGAAGATCAACCATCTCTGCCATGCTCCACCAATCAGGCCTGAGAACCTTCCAGAAGATCAACCATCTATACAGCGCTCCACCAATCAGGCCTGAGAACCTCTCAGAAGATCAACCATCTCTGCAGCGCTCCACCAATCAGGACTAAGAACCTCCCAGAAGATCAACCTTCTCTGCAGCGCTCCGCCAATCAGGACTAAGAACCTTCCAGAAGATCAACCATCTCTGCAGCTATCTGCCAATCAGGACTGAGAACCTTCCAGAAGATCAACCATCTCTGCAGCGCTCCACCAAAGAAACAAAATTCTCTGGTCTGATGGCAAAAATATTTATCTTCTATTCTATATCTATTACAGACCTTGTTCAGAGCAGCGCCATGACAGGTATGAAAGTGAGGCTGTGAGGGATAGACTTACCGTGTTTTCAATGGCATCCGCTGTAAAAAGCTGAATAAAGCTCCTAGATTACTTACAAATTTCCACAGCTTACATTGTCGGGAGTTTTTTGTCAACTGAGATTTCTTGGAAAGATATTTTTCCAGTGTTTCATGAGCGGAACAATCCGAAAACACATTAAATAACAGTACAGCCCATTGAATAGATGCCTATCCCTCGCTTTCATTCTCATTAAAAATCAAAGATGGCGCTGCCGTGAATGAGCCGTATCTTAATAAAAAGAAAAAGTACACATACTGCTTTAGATTACACTTGGAAGGGTCATAGCACTTGCATAGTGTTGTCCTATTGTAAGTTTCACTGCTTCTATTGTTCTCATTTGTAAGTCGCTTCGGATAAAAGCGTCTACTAAATGATAAATGTAAATTTAAGATTGAACTTTTTGTCCTGAACTGCAAGCTTCATGTCTGGAGGAAACCAGACACCGCTCATCACCTGGCCCTATACCATCCCTACAGTGAAGCATGGCGGTGGCAGCATCAGATGTGGGGATGTTTTTCAGTGGATCGAGGGAAAGATGAATGCAGCAATGAACAATGAACTCGATTGAACATTTCTGGAGAGATCTGAAAAAAGCTGTGCACCGACACTCCCTATCCAACCTGATGGAGCTTGAGAGGTTCTGCAAAGAAGAAGGGGAGAAACTGCCCACAAGTGTGCCAAGCTTGTACCATCATACTCAAAAAGACTGAAGTCCTGTGAATACTTTCCAGATGCACTATATTTTCCTCATGTTTTGGTATGTAGCCCAATGCATGTGAGGGAAAAAGAACGCACTCTTACGAAAAATCTCTGAAAGACATCAGCACTGAGTTGAATAGAGATGACAAAGATGAATGAACAGACCTGAAACAGTGTGACATTTGAATCTCCAGAGTAAAGCAAACGAGTTTCTGCTTGTTAAAATTGCAGACCGAGCCGCTGAATAATGAAACGAGCTGTTCTGAGACGCGGAAAACATTGTTTTTAAAAGTTGCACGCTACTCTATAAAACATGCAGCTAGCACATACAGTATATTACGGTGGCCCAGTAGTGAGCAACACAATGAAATGCAAACATAAGTTCACAACACAACGGAAGTTTGTTAAACTTTGTTTTCCTTGCCACTGTTCTATAGAGTCGGCAGACTAAAATATATATCAACGCCACGATTCGTTTTAACAGTATGTAGCTAACCATTGTATATTGACAATTATTATTTATGTATTAAGCATACCCAGACAGCAAACTGACATTGAATCAACATGGAAACGACGTCTCTCATGACATTGAAACAACGTTGATTTTGCTCATCGAATTAACGTTGAACCAACGTCAGACGCGGCATTCTTCAAAGCTAAATGAAAATTCGAAAATTGGTTTGCTTTCATAACGTTGAAACAATGCGTTGATTTCAAGTTGATTTTCCGTTAGTTTTGAAAGAATGACGCGTCTGATGTTGGTTCAACGTTAATTCGATGAGCAAAACAATGTCAGATCAACGTTGTTTCGATGTCATATTTCCACGTTGATTCAATGTCAGTTTGCTATCTGGGTATGATCCCTAAAGGAATGTCAGCCAATTCCTCCAAGTGGTAAACATCTTATTTGTGTTAATTAAAATTACTTTTAACATTCAAAAACAGACAAGTTCAAAATCCAAAGCTTGATTGTAATGGTAAGACTGACTTACTATAGCTGACGTTTTTCCAATACCGCCCTTCATGTATTTACAGGAAACAATTATTTTTAAGAAACAAAATTTCTGTAATATAACAAAAGTTGTTTTTTTCTTTTATCATGTTTTTAAGGTTGTTGCTCCTAGTAACCAGACTGACTTATTACAGGTGAAACTGTTGCCAATAGCTCTCTGTAATTCTGCAATTCACCAAATGGTTTTGATTTATTTTTATTTATCAAATTATTTTATAATAAATTATTAATTTAGACTTACTTTTGGAAATGGCAGACATTCCCTCAGGGATCATGCGGTGTGATACGGGTCAAAGCATTATCATGTCTAAAATTAAATACACAGCTATGTAGGTGATTTTGACTCTATAGAACAGTGGCAAGAAAAACTGACTTTACCACGATGGTCGGGAGCATTTCTGTTCTTTTGTGGTTTTATTTCATTGTGTTGTGGCTTAATTCCGTTGTGTTGCGGCTTAATTTTGTTGTGTTGTGTTTTTATTTCATTATGTTGCGGCTTTATTTAGTTGTTTTGTGGCTTTATTTCGTTGTGTTTTGGGTTTATTTCGTTGTGTTGTGGCTTTATTTTGTTGTGTTTTGAGTTTATTTCGTTGTGTTGTGGCTTTATTTCGTTGTGTTGTGGCTTATTTCTGTTGCACTGTGGCTTATTTCCGTTGTGTTGTACATTTTCTGTTGTGCTGAAGTTTATTTCCATTTTGTTGTACATTTTACATTGTGTTGTGGCTTATTTCCATTGTCTTGTGGCTTATTTCCGTTGTGTTGTGGCTTATTTCCGTTGTGTTGTGGCTTATTTCCGTTGTGTTGTACATTTTCCGTTGTGTGGTGGCTTAATTTTGTTGTGTTGTGACTTTATTTAATTGTTTTGTGGCTTAATTCCATTGTGTTGTGGCTTTATTTCGTAGCATTGTGGCTTAATTTCATTGTGTAGTGGCTTTATTTTGTTGTGTTGTTGCTTAATTTCGTTGTGTTGTGACTTTATGTTGTTGTGTTGTGGCTTATTTCGTTGTGGCTTTATTTTGTTGTGTTGCGGCTTTTTCCGTTATGTTTTGAGTTTATTTCGTTGTGTTGTGGCTTTATTTCATTGTGCTGTGGCTTATTTCTGTTGTGTTGCGGCTTTATTTCATTGTGGCTTAAAGGGGTGATGAACTGAGAAATCTAATTTTTCATTGAGCTTTTGACATCTAAGAGGTCATCATATTATAAGAATATCCGGTAAGTTTGAGAACTGAAAACGTCCTTGTTAGTCCAATAAAAGCTTTTATTGACACCAGCCCCAGCAAACGACTCGTTTTTCAAAGTGGGGAACTATGACGTCAAAGAGGATAAAACACCACCCCCGCAGAAGAAGATCAACTCCTACTTCAACACGGCCGGTTTAGCCCCGCCCACCGATTCACGCATTACACGCATAGCTAAATAACATAGATGCCTACCTCGTGAGGACAAACCGGATCGAGCTACCGAGCGATACAAAATATTGTGCAGTGGCTGGTTGTGGAAGCAGACAGTCGCTGCATATGCTTCCTCTGGATTCCTCTAGGACTGCAACTTTATTTTTCATGACGTTCCAGCTGATCCAGGGTAAAACATTGTCCGTCTGTTCGCTTCATTTCACTGAGGATTGTTTTGTAAACAAGACTGGATTTGCAGACCGATTAAGAGTGAAGAATGATGCTGTGCCGTCTATATTGGATCTGACAGGAATTGTGCAACACACGGACTCTGGGTCGAACATGTATGGGCGAATCATTCCATTTGCCATTTTACAACATTGGACGTTTTCAAAATAATTTCCCCCAAGTGCATCGACGGGTGAGTTGAAACTTATTATAATATGCAAAACTGTTATCCACTCACAGCAGTGGGAGTTTACTTCCAAGTCCTCAGTGCGAGACACCCATAAAAACCGAGCGGTTTTTACTAGGGTAGAAAATAGCCTATTACTTATTCATTTTGATGTTTTTGAATGCAAAAACCAACCGAACGTCATAAGTTGACCTCAGACAACAATATAATAACATTTAAAAAGCCAGTTCATGAACCCTTTAATTCCGTTGTGTTGTGAACTTAGGTTTGCTCTTTAAATTGCATTGTGTTGTACACTACTGGGACACCGTAGTATATACATATAATAAAATTGTTGTTTTTGCGACTAAGCAGTATCGTGATTTCATATCATGCAGCCCTAGTACAAACTGTTTTCTTGCGTGTGTGTGTGTGTAATTCACTGAAAAACATATTGATCTGCAGTCAAGAGAGTTTGCGAGACACACCTGTTCTCACTCTGTGTTTGAAAAGTTTGACCAGTTTCCCACAGTCTGAAAACCCCTGACCTCCACAGCTGCATTGCTTTAACTGCAGTGAGCTGTTCACCACTGAGACCGGATCAAGACTCGCTAGGATATTCAGAGGTCGATCACTAATGAGATCTTAACTTTTGTTTTGGTATCTTTGGTATCTATATTGAACTAATTTGTTTGTAAATGAGCACAGACACACTGGTTGTGTGGTTTCCACTGACTTTTGGTTCTCGGTGAGGTTTAGGTGTCGTTTGATGTCCAGAAGAACCTCTTTGAGGAAGGTCAGCCGCTTGACCTCGTGCTGCTGGCACTGGTCGAACACCTGCTCCATGCACTCCATGTACTGTGGTGTGCACTTCGACAGCTCGTCCAGAGACTTCTCGTACTTCTCCTTCGCCTGCCACACACACACAACATACACACATCATGAACTCCTCCAATGGGAATTACAGCTTACCAATGCTAAAGCAATACCATTATAGGACTGTAACTTAATAATTCAATACAGTTAGAGCGATTGTTATATCTTTAAATGTCATTGCACTTCACTTAAGAGTCACTGCTCCTTTTAATAGCTCAATGTTGTAAAAAATCTCTCATATCAGTTGTGCTCTAGATCAAGTTCTTTGCTCGAATCTGAGTATTGTGTATTTACTCAGTGTAGTAGGTAGCATTGCTATATGTACACATTTGTAAGATTTGTATAAATTACTCAATTCAATTCAACTTTACAATTTACAAAAGAAAACACAGTTCCTCTTCAAGGGAACTCGCACTGCGTCATCGTTATGACACTTTGGGGAATGCCCCCAGCGTAGCGTATCTGAAGCATGAATGAAATCTGTCCGATCCTGATTGGTGCTGCGTCATGACGTAGTAAATGACGGCAAAACCGGAAGATACAAAGGGGACGCTGACACAAACAACACCAGCTTTTTTGCTCTTCAGCTAAGCGCTCTGTGTGAATTGTTTGTCCTATTTACTGTTTTTTGTCATTATATCTCAAAAACTGATCATGTCTAGCAAGCATTTTAGACAGTGTGTGCATCCGTGCCCGCGCTATATTTCGGGCACGGACACACACCAGCTGTGTGTGCATTGTTTGGGCGTGCAGCACGCTAAAGCGGCTCTCGAGGGAGTCGCTTGTTGCGAGTGTGAGAAGCTGCTGCCCAGAACGTTGCGCTCGCGGCTGGCCGTATTTGACGAGTCAAGCGGCCATGCTCGCGAGCCTCGCGGTTCTGGGCCCGCGGTTGCTGAGGCAACGCGACGCCGCAGCTCGTGGGGCTCACAAATGGATCTCTCAGCGGGGCACGGGACTGCTTCGGCATCTTCCCAGAGGATTCAGATGCTCTCCCGCCCCATGTGGAAGCCCGCAAAGCGGCTTCTTCCCACGAGGCGGGGGACACAATGCTACATTTATCTGGCTCTGAGGAGTTAGATAATTCAAGCATTGAGGTGTGTGATGTGGAGACTATTCAACCACTTCATGCACCTGGTCAAGAGGAGTTAGTGGAGGTTTTGACACGCGCTGTTGCCAAATTATAAATTGATTGGCCACAAGAGGAAGTAGAAATTCAGCCACCAAGCAAGCTGGATGAAAGATATTTTAAACGCAAGTCTCAACCTCCTTTCATTATTCCATGACTTGCATAATGAGTTATGCAAGTCATGGGTGAAACCTTATTCAGCTAGGCTCTCCAACCCCCCAGTGCTTGATTTTGCTAATGTGCTGGGGGCGGCTGAGTCTGGTTATGGGACATTGCCTCGGGTAGAGGAGGCTCTCGCAAGCTATCTTTCGCCCGAGGCCGCATCGTCCCTTAAGGCCCCAGTACTGCCCACTAAGCCATGCCGCGATACATCCACGCTGGTGGGAAGGGCTTTCATGGCAGCTGGGCGGGCTGGTAGCTGCCTGCACACTATGGCGGTGTTGCAGGCCTACCAGGCCGACCTCCTCAAGGAGCTGGATAAGGGTGAGGGTCCTTCTCCAAGTGACATCACGGAGCTGAGGAAGGCCACCGACCTGTCTATCACCAAGGAGACGGCCTGTGTCATCGGCTGCTCCATGGCTGGTTTGTTGTGTGTGGAGAGACATTTATGGCTGAATTTGTCGGGGATGGAGGAGAGAGAGAAACATTTTCTCCTAGACCCCCCAATTTCACCTTCGGGCCTCTTCGGCGACGCGGTTGATACCGTCGTCGGGAGGTTCCAGGAGGTGAAAAAACAGTCGGTGGCCTTCCATCAGTACCTTCCTCGCCATTCTGGCTCCTCGAGGAAGGCTGCCTCCAAAGGACAGCCTCGGCCGCCTCCCAGCTCCTCGCACCGATATGTACAGAAGGAGAGTGTCGCCTCCCGTGCCCCTCCTGAGGGAGCCTGGCAAAGGAGACGGCGCTCTCATGGCAAGTCTTCTGAGCCTAAGGTCGATTTGAGAACTGTCCTCGAGGCAAAGAAGGCTTCCGTTTGCAGCCGGACCACTGAGAGCTGCCCCCCCAGGGCGAAGCAATCGAGGTCGCATTCGCCCCGGAGCTCTCGCCTATTTCCCGCGCACGCACGCCACTCCCGCCGCCTCCACTAAGACCTGCGGCTGGGCAGCAAACGTGTCCGCCCACTGAAAACAGTTGTCGACCGCTCCCTGCCGGCCAGCCGCTTCTGGGGGTCAGGAACGAGTCTCGAATAACATCCGAGGCCAGCCTCGAGAGGCTGGTTCCCTTAGTAGATTATCTCGGCACATGGTTATGCCTTCCGAATATTTCTGCATGGGTCCTGCATACTGTAGAGCGGGGGTACAGGCTGCAGTTCAGTTCCCCTCCCCCGAGGTTCAACGGGGTGGTCTGGAACAGGAAGTTCAATCCCTGTTGGTCAAGGAGGCCATAGAACGTGTTCCTCGGCCAGACAGGGAGTCCGGGTTCTACAGCCGGTACTTCATAGTTCCCAAGAAGGATGGGGGGTTGCATCCAATAATAGATCTCAGGCACTTGAATCGTTCTCTGAGGAGATTCAGGTTCAAGATGCTCACTATTCCAGCTATCTTAAGTCAGATCCAGTTCGAGGACTGGTTCGTCCCGATAGATCTGAAGGACGCATACTTTCACATATCCATCCTTCCAAGTCACAGGAGGTTCCTGAGGTTCACTTTTGGGGGCGAAGCGTACCAATATCGGGTTCTTCCCTTCGGCCTAGCTCTCTCCCCTTGCACCTTCACCAAGTGCATGGATGCAGCACTGGCTCCGCTGAGACTCCAGGGCATCCGTATACTCAGCTACATCGACAACTGGCTAATATTGGCAAAGTCGCGAGACATGGCAGTTCGGCATCGAGATGTCGTTCTGGGCCATATCAGGTGCTTGGGGCTGAGACTCAACACAAAAAAGAGTGTGTTGACGCCCTCCCAGAGGACTACGTTCCTGGGAGTTGTATGGGACTCCACGACAATGCGGGCACAGATGTCTCCCGCATGCATGAAGTCCATACAGGCAATGGTCTCCAGAGTGAAGCTAGGCCACAACCTCACTCTGAAGCAGTTTCAGAGACTGCTGGGGCTCATGGAAGCAGCGTCCAACGTCATACCTTTTGGCCTGCTACACATGAGACCCCTACAGAGGTGGTTGAGAGCCAAGGGGTTTTCCCAGAGGGGAAATCCATTCCGTATGATCAGGGTAACCCGCAGATGCCTTCGTTCCCTCGGCATATGGAGGAAACCTTGGTTCTTGTCCCAGGGACCGGTGTTGGGAGCGTCATGTTGCCGGAAAACCGTTTCAACAGATGCCTCCCTCACTGGTTGGGGCGCGGTCATGGACGGCCGCTTTGTGAGAGGTCTGTGGGAGACCCGGCACTCTTCCTTGCACATCAATTGCCTGGAAATGCTGGCGGTCTGCAAGGCTCTGAGGAGTTTTTTCCTGGACCTCCGCGGCCACCATGTCCTGATACGCTCGGACAACATGTCCGTAGTTGCGTATCTGAATCACCAAGGGGGTTTGAGGTCGCGCCCTCTATGCAGACTGGCACACCAGATCCTTCTGTGGTCCCAGGGGTAATTGTCGTCTCTCAGAGCGATATATATCCCCGGGGATCAAAATCAGGGAGCAGACGTCCTGTCGAGGCAGGGGCTGAGGCCCGGGGAGTGGCGACTCCATCCCGAGGTGGTGGAGGCCATGTGCCTGAGATTCAGGCCAGTGGAAGTGGATCTGTTCGCGTCTCAAGAGACGTCCCACTGTCCACTGTGGTTCTCTCTCAGGTATCCAGCTCCGTTGGGGCTGGACGCTATGATATAGACGTGGCCGAGGCTGCGTCTGTACGCATTTCCCCCGATCGCTGTGCTCCCGGGAGTCTTGAAGCGAGTCCGCCGGGAAGAAATCAGCCTACTTCTAGTAGCACCCTGCTGGCTGACCAGGGTATGGTTCTCGGACATCGTAGCTCTTCTAGACGGCCTCCCGTGGCAGGTCCCTCTGAGGAGGGACCTGCTGTCGCAGGCAGGGGGCACAATATTTTACCCCCAGCTGGAGCTATGGAACCTTTGGGTCTGGCCCCTGAGGGGGCTCGGTACTTAGAGGCTGGCCTGTCAGCAGGTGTTGTCGAGACCCTCCTCAGCTCCAGGTCTCCTTCCACCAGGAGACTGTACAGCCTAAAGTGGAATGTGTTTTCCACTTGGTGTAGAGAACGTGAGGTGGACCCAGTTAACTGCCCAGTGGTTTCAGTGCTGGAGTTCCTCCAAGATCGTTTCTCTGCCGGTCTTACCCCATCCACGCTTGGGTGTATGTGGCTCCCATTGCGGCTTTCTACTCGCCTGTAGGTGTTGGGCCTTTGGGTAGGCACCATTTGGTTGTACGTTTCTTCCGTGGGGCTCGGAGGATGAGGCCTGCGTCTCATTCCAAAGTCCCAACCTGGGACCTGGCAGTGGTTCTTGAAGGGTTGGCTGAGGCCCCTTTTGAGCCACTGAGACAAAGAACCTGACCTTTAAGGTGGCCTTTCTCCTTACCATCACTTCTCTGTGGAGAGTGGGGGATCTCCAGGCCTTGGCTATATCGCCAACTTGCCTGGAGTTTGCCCCTGGCAGAGTTAATGCCATCTTACATCCTAGACCGGGTTATGTACCCAAGGTGCCGTCTAGTGCGGCATGGTCAGTGGTTCTTCAGGCCTTCCATTCTCCACCTCATGAGACAGCGGAAGAGGGGAGACTTCACCTGCTCTACCCAGTCAGAGTTCTAAGGGTTTACTTGGAGAAGTCTTCCCAGTGGAGGAAGTAAGACCAGTTATTGGAGTGCTTTGGTTCACCCGAAGAAAGGGAAGTCTAAATCCAAACAGACAATCAGTAATTGGATTTTGCAGGCTATAGCCGCGGCTTATCAGGTGCGCAATTTGCCTTCAAATTGTGGGTGGGCCACCCCGCACACCTTCATACGTTTTTACAGTCTGCAACTCTCCGTGACGCCTGGCGCTAGAGTGCTCGCGTCCTAAGTGTGCCTGGTCTCCCAGCTTTACACTAGGACAGGCGTGATTTCGGTGTGGCATAGTGGGCATTTCGTTCCCCAAAGTGTCATAACGATGATGCAGTGTGAGTTCCCTCGAAGGGGAACGTCTCGGGTTACGATTGTAACCCTTGTTCCCCGAGAAGGGAACGAGACACTGTGTCTCGCCACCACACCTATCACGAACAGAGTGCTTGCTTCATTGCAAAAGAGCTGGTGTTGTTTGTGTCAGCGTCCCCTTTGTATCTTCCGGTTATGCCGTCATCTACTACGTCATGACGCAGCACCAATCAGGATCGGACAGATTTCATTCATGCTTCATATACGCTATACTGGGGAGATTCCCCAAAGTGTCATAACGATGACGCAGTGTCTCGTTCCCTTCTCTGGGAACAAGGGTTACAGTCGTAACCCAAGACGTTTTCTTGCATCAGGCTGAATGTGTATTCAATATATATATATATATATATATATATATATATATATATATGTATATAGTCAGATTAAATAACATTTTTACTTGCATGAAACCAGTTTATTTAGAAGCTTCCACATATCCCATGCTATTTAGGCTATCTGAAAAAGCTAGCGTGCGCTATTGAAAAATTAAATACAAATAAAAACAGTTTCCCACAATTATAATTCCTGTGTAAATACATTTATACCGGCTCACATTATTATACCCATTAATAAATTATCCTGCCATGCATTAAATGTTCTGTGAAACTTGTTTTTGATTTGATTCTCAAAGTATACTTGAAAGTGAATAGCACTTGGATTAGTGGTAAAACCTTATTTTGATGGTCCACTTTTGAACATTCTGTTGACAATAAGCAACTTTGTAATTATTTGTCAACTAGCTCTCATTGGAGTATTAATATATTGTCAGCTTAATATCTGCTAACTCTTCATTGTGATGCTCCTCCAACAGACATTCTGCTAACTATAAGTAACTGTGCAACTACATGTCAACTTATTCTAACCCTAACCCAGTCTATTAAAGGGATACTTCATCTCTGGAAAAATGAATGTGTATTTAGAATTCCACATTTATGTAGAAGAAATGTGAAATTATTTTCGAATTTGGAGCTTTATACACTGAGAAAAGCCAAAAAATGTATTTTTGGCTTTTGTGGATGAAAGACAACAACTCCCAGAATGCACTTGCTGCGCTGCCCCAGGAGGTCACGCCTACCGGTAACAGAGCGCAGTAGTCAAACAACAAGTCTAGGCAACTAGTGAGTCTCCGTGATGAGTCTGCCCAAAAATGTGTTTCAAGATTGCCCAAAATGTCCGGGATTGGGCTTTTGCATTCTATAGTCGCCATTCATCATGTTTACTGTGACAAGCGGGAAGAGTGAGGGCTGTGGGAGAACGGCGCGAGGCCAGTGGCCTGATTACCGATGAGCGACACCTGTGAGATGCTCACAGTCTCGTATCTCTCAAGGAGGAGCGGGAATTTTTTTAGCAATGTTAAAGGAGCTGTATACAAGATTGTGGCAAAAACTGGTACTGTAATCACTTTCAAATTAGGGTGTATCCCCCCTTCCCCCTTGACTCGAGGTTGCCAGATATGCTGCAGGTTCCAGCAGGAATGTAGACTGCTACAAGAAGCTTCCAAGTGACGAGTCCTACACAGTGAGTTTTTTCTGTTAATTATTTATTTCGGACTTTGTAACAAAGTATTTCGGATTCATATCAAGTTTTTTGGGGTTTCGCAATGTTAGAATTTTTTTATCCGATTCCGACAGGTTTGTATCTGCAGCTGTGGTAACTAGAGCAGAGCTGTCAACCCGAATGCCGCAACACTACTGAGTCCGTGATTGGTAGACCGGTGGAGGGTGACACATCAGAACAAAACACAACTTGACAAGATCAACATCAGTCAAAGGCTGCGACTTCACTTTTTAAATGACAATATCCTGGCCGGACTACTGTTGTCAGTGATATAAGTATTTGAAATGAACATGATTTCTCAATGTCTAGTGACATATCAGGGAAAATTTAGGATTAATTCAAATACATTTCTTGCATCCAGCTCCTTTAAAACGCACATCAACCTTGTTTAGCGTTCATGTAAACACAACATTCAGATTCACCAATCGGAATGAATTCAGTTCGATTGAAACAAAAGGTGTGCATGTAAACGATGAATGTCGACAGCAGAAAGCAAAAGCTGAATCCCAGACATCGACGGCCGGACATGTCTGGGAAAAAGACGATGCCCCTACTACTCAGCTTTCTCCACAGGACAAGAGCCTGCTAGCTTAGCTTCCAAAAAAAGATGGCTGACACTATGTGTTCATTCTGTGAGTGAGATCCACCCTCTATGGGCGGGTTAGGAACATGCGGGACAAAGACAGGCACTACTGACTGTAGTCTTTAGCCTCTACACAAAAAATCCTCAGATGACGCGAAATGAATATTTTTGCGTCATCGGAGGATTTTTTCCAGACAAAAAATACATACGTCTCTCGTCTCAGGGGGATATGAGGGTGGAAAGCGCGGTAATTCGAAAATACTACAGGTTTCCTACTAATACAAAGCTTAATGCTAAATCCTGAAATATCCCTTTAATGCTCAACTAACACTCTAATGAGAGTTAAGAGAGAAATGTTGGTGCAATGTTACTCATAGTCAACAGAATGTTTTAAAGGGACCATCAAAATAAAGTGAAACCGAATCGGTTTCTCTGTTTGTCGTGTGTGTGTTTTCCGCACCTTCTGCACATCCTGCTTGCATTTCTCTGTCTTCTCGTGCAGTTTCTTCTGCTGGTCTGGAGTGACAGAAGCGTCTGCCTCGCGCGCTGCAGCCAGCTTCTCCTCTTTACATGCCATGTGATACGTCTTCTTAGCCGTCTCCATCTGCAGACAGACATGCATATAAACTACTGCAATGATGCTTGGAGACTAGTTAACTGAACTGACTGAAAGTTTTTATAAAAGTCATGGTCAGTTCTGAAGACACTAGAACGCTTTCACAAATAGTTCCTGCTATAGTTTCCATTCTATTCATACTTTGCTGTCACGTGACTACCATGGATACCTGGCGGGCAACAAACGCTGACAAAATGGCGACAAACAGTGGTCAGCCAGGGGAATTGCAGCCTTGCAAATTTCCAAAACTACAATCGATTGACTATTTAGACCATATGTCACTGAATGTTAAAATTAGATATCAAGAAAAGATTAACATACTACACAGATTAAAGGTGCCATCTGTAAGAATTGAGGTTAAAATATCCAAAAAATGAGCTACACGCATCAAAACAGTGAGAAGAAATAAGGTTAATGAAGTTATATTGCTGCCGAGATATTAACCTGAATTAGCATGCTAAATTACTAGCCCCGGCCCAGCAGGTGTCATAATACCAGTTTCGAGCATGGGAGGCGGTATGCGGCGGGCAACATAACCACCAGCCAAACTGCAATACACGAGTAACTCCCCATATAGCTTGACCCCACTACTACATTTCAGTTCAGGGAAGAGTTCAAAAAATTGATTGGTCGACATTATGCATGAGGAATACATTTTGGTAAGTTGTAGCATATTGTATCTTTCAACAGTGTTCGTGTTCTTTTATTATTATTAGTATTACTATTAGCTAGTAGAGATGATCAGTTCACGAGGGCTAGGGATCTGTCATGTAACATTTACAAACGCCAAAACTGTATTTATTGTTTGAATTGCGTAATAAAATTGACAGAATCTGAGAGCTGAGTTTTTTTTTATTTATCATAACTATTCTGATCTGTCTCTGTCGGTCTCCGTGTCCTTTTCTGTGCATGACAAAATTGATGTGTGGCGTGAGAGCGTGTGAAAAGTGTCAATTGCATGTGTCTCACGGTGAATTCGTGAGAGTTGGCGGCTCTGAATGGCACTAGCTTGGTCAACATCAGCGAATGCTGTCTGTCAAATTAATTCAAAATAACAATAAAAATGTACTATGAACAAAACGAATACCGTAAAACTTCAAATAATAGCCCGGGTGTATTTGAGACGGCATTTATAGTGTTGAGATGTTGTTCATTGAGTCTCTAATCTCTAAAAATCTCCAAATGCTCTTCGTGAAACTGTGGTCTTCCAACCTTTTACTATCGTGTCAATTGATTTGATTAATATGCACAAGGGAGAGAGAGCAAGACAGCGCTCGCTCGTGTTATTTGAAGACGTGAGAGAGGGCACAACTCACTTTCTGGAGGTATACTGCCCCCATCTGGAATGGAATATGGATTATGATTTTTTTTTTTTTTTTGACAGATGGCACCTTTAAATTAGACAAAGATTAACAACCACAGCCATGTCCAACTGATCTGAATAAGTTGTCCAATGTCCAACTGAATCATGTCCAACGTTCCGCCGGAAGTGATCTCTTGTGTCGTACAGTACGTCACTCAATGTTTACACAGAGATTTCGGAAGTTTTACCTTTCACTAAACATATCGAAATCATCTTCCATTGCGATTTCCTGTATATCTAAATATGTTAGATCACAGTGAAAAGTAAAACTTCCGAAATCGATAAGCGATCACTTTCGGGGGAACGATGGACATGATTCAGTTGGACATTGGACAACTGATTCAGATCAATTGGACATGGCTGTGGTAACACGAGGTAAAAACGATATAAATACTCTTAGTTTTCTCACACAAACCGCTCGTTTCATGTCTTAGGCCATCAGTGTGTACTAACATTTACGATTCATTAAATCATGTTTCATTTGGACTTCTCTGTGCATGCTCTTTGAGGTCGACCCCCTAAACCTCCATTATATGACTGACAGACAACAGAGGTTTGACTGAAAATGTCAAAATTGAAAATACTGCGGAAACAAAAACACATACATACATCTTGGATGCCCTTGAGGCAAGCTAAAACATATCAAAAATTAATTTCAAAGTGAACTATCCCTTTAATATCCCACACAATGGGAAGATTATCAGTGAACAACAACCCATTTTTACACAACACACAAAATCACATATGGCTTGGTACTTAGTTTATGGTGCTTTTCCTTTAAAGATTTAGTCCTCATTATTTTGTCTTTCACAGAAGAAAGAATGTCATACGGAGTAAATGATGAAAGAATTTAAACTTCATTTAAACATGCATTCACACTTCACTTGAATTTTGGACCGCATGCATTGATATGCATATTTAATATGTGTTTGCAATGGAAAAAAAAGCCATAAAGTGACATTAACACAGAATTGGCAGTTAAAGCCTTTTCTTTGTACCTCTTTGAGTTTCTTAGCCCAGGGTTTCTGGGCTTTCTTGAAGCCCTCTTCTGCCTCTTTGGTCTCCTTGAAGCCCCCGATCATCTGTCTGTGGTATGAGTCTTTCTGCCAGTTTTTCACCTTCTCGATGTCCTCGTTCATCAGACCGTTCTTGACCTCTTGATGAAGCTCGCTCACTTTATCAGCCTCTGTCATCATAGCTAACCAGGCTCGCTCCACAGAACCGTACTGAGGCCCTGGACACACACACACATATAAAACATAGACGACAAAATCAGAGATGTATGAACTTATTAAATCACAGTTCTATTAAATCCTGAGCGGATGAAGAAAGAAGCTTTGGATAGATATAACCGACCTTTCTCGATCAGTTGCCTCCACCTTTTGGACCATTCGGTGAGCTGTGCGCTGTAGGACTTCTCTATCTTGGTACGCTCCTGAAGGCAGTTCATAAGATCATTGCAGAGTCGATGGCCGTCGTCGATTCTCTTGACTGCACGCTTATAATTCCCCACCTAGAAAAGAAAAATCATAATTCATTTCACATCATATTACATGCAACTTGATGTTCAATTCTGCTCATACGTTTACATGGTCCACGCAGAATCTGTGAGATGTTTATCATTTAAAAAGTAAATTATTATTAATAATAATATGAGAGGATTCTGAAAATTGCATTTAGTTTTAAATTGAGTACTAAAGTTATTGTACATAACAGATGTCTACATACCACTACTGTTCAAAAGATTCATTCATGTGTTTGAACAAAGTCTTTTACGCTTGCTAAGACTTAAAACAGTAAAATAATGCAGTAAAAACAGCAATATTGTGAAATATTATTACAATTTAAAATAACTGTTTTCTATTTGAATATAATATAATATAATATAATATAATACATTTTTAGGTATTATATTTTCCCCATAAACATCTGTGGTTGTCCCAGAGCATGTAGTTCTCCCTGGTTCCTGCAGGTGGCATAAGGAAGGAGTGCGGGTGGGAGAGGAGATGATATGAGGGGGATGGGGCTCATTGTTGTGCATGTGAAGTTATGCAATGACCACCACAGCTTTTGTGTCCATGTGCTGCTAGTGCTCTAATCCTGTGCTTCACTGCACTAACAATGACATCTCGACTGCACACACGTCCAAGAAAGCTCAGCGAGGTTTAAACCAATGAAAGGCACAACGTCTCCACACAGCCTCACTGGAATTTATAAACAACACAGGTTATTTGAATGCCTTTTACAAGACTGAAGTAGGCAAAATACAATCAGCAGGTATATTGCCCGACTCTAGAGGGCAGTATATTACACAGCTCACTGAAATGCTTGATTCTTATTGGTCAGTTGTTCCCCGATAATGAACGTTGTCAATAGCACTAATGCTCACCCGAAGCTTTCTCCATGTCTCTCGTATTGCACCACAGATGGACACGCTCTCTCTCGTTTTGTTTGAATCTTGCACCTTAATTATCGATAGCATTTATTGTAAATTAAAACCAGTGCAAGACAAACGATTGTTTTGTACAGTGTTATGGACTGTAATATAACAAGCAAGTAAAATTTTAAAGTGACATGAAATACACTTTTCTTGCCTATAGTGACGTATATCCGAGGAAAATCACTTCAAATTTCTTCACAAGAATGAATTTAAGCGTGATTAAAAAATGTAAAAACACAAGACAGCCAATGTTAAAACCAACCACATGGCAGTTTAACGTAATGTTAACCCATAAAGCTAAGTGGTTCCTTAAGTTTGATAATTAATCTGCTGTGTTATGTTTATGACATATTTATTGACAGGTTGTGTTGTCTTAGTAATGTCAAGTTGCTATGACAAAGACACTGACAGGTTATGATGTATTGTTTTAAGTCAAGTTGTCATATCAAAGACATCTCAAAAAATGTCATATTCGCATTACAAATGTCATAATTGTGCGAATGACACTTAATGACAGTTGTCACAAACATGCATAAAACCTTCATATCACGTCATGATTAAGAAAGTGTCATGTCAGTCTTATGCATGCCCCTTCAAGTAAAGTGTTGCCAAAAAGTGTTACCATATAAACTGTAACCTAGTAAACTATATTATTATAACTACACGTAACATATAACAAGGGCTCTGTAAAATAAAGTGTCGGCTTCTTTACTTTTGTGGCAAGTTGGCGTGAAATAAGTAGGTTGATGTACATCTAGATACAAACCCTTTTGGGTTTTTTTTTTTTTTGCGAAAACAACTGCCAGGATGTCCGTTATCCTAAAGTAGGCTATATATTCCTCAAGATGAAGTAAGCGTTATATAAGTTTTTGAATTAACTTTATAGTACATTCCCCTTCCGGGCAGGTTTTTTCAATGGCACTTTATCTCACGTTCAGCTACACTGACCTTCACCCAAGCTCTGATGAGTCAAATCAGTCTGTGAATAAAAACTCACAGTAGCACATGCTGACAGGGCTCTTAATTCCCAGTCAGTCATACAGACACAGAGTCGGTCATACAGACACACAGTCGGTCATACAGACACACAGTCGGTCATACAGACACACAGTCGGTCATACAGACACACAGTCGGTCATACAGACACACAGCTGGTCATACAGACACACAGTCTGTCATAGTCGGTCATACAGACACACAGTCTGTCATACAGACACACAGCCGGTCATACAGACACAAAGTCAGTCATAGTCGGTCATACAGACACACAGTCTGTGATAGTCGGTCATACAGACAAACAGTCAGTCATACAGACAAACAGTCGGTCATACAGACACACAGCCGGTCATACAGACGCAAAGTCGGTCATACAGACACACAGTCAGTTATAGTCAGTCATACAGACACACAGTCAGTCATACAGACACACAGTTCGGTCAGTCATACAGACACACAGTCAGTCATACAGACACACAGTCGGTCATACAGACACACAGTCGGTAATACAGACACACAGTCGGTCATACAGACACACATTCGGTCATACAGACACACAGTCGGTCATACAGACACACAGTCAGTCATACAGACACACAGTCGGTCATACAGACACACATTCGGTCATACAGACACACAGTCAGTCATACAGACACACATTCGGTCATACAGACACAGACTGTCATACAAACACACAGTCGGTCATACAGACACACATTCGGTCATACAGACACACAGTCGGTCATACAGACACACAGTCAGTCAGTCATACAGACACACATTCGGTCATACAGACACAGTCAGACAGTCAGTCATACAGACACACAGTCAGTCATACAGACACACAGTCGGTCATACAGACACACAGTCGGTCATACAGACACACAGTCAGACAGTCAGTCATACAGACACACAGTCAGTCATACAGACACACAGTCGGTCATACAGACACACAGTCGGTCATACAGACACACAGGCTGTCATACAGACACACAGTCTGTCATACAAACACACAGTCGGTCATACAGACACACAGTCAGTCAGTCATAAAGACACACAGTCAGTCAAACAGACACACATTCGGTCATACAGACACACAGTCAGTCATACAGACACACAGTCGGTCATACAGACACACAGTCAGTCATACAGACACACATTCGGTCATACAGACACACAGTCAGTCATACAGACACACAGTCGGTCATACAGACACACAGGCTGTCATACAGACACACAGTCGGTCATACAGACACACAGTCAGTCAGTCATAAAGACACACAGTCAGTCATACAGACACACAGTCGGTCATACAGACACACAGTCGGTCATACAGACACACAGTCAGTCAGTCATAAAGACACACAGTCAGTCATACAGACACACATTCGGTCATACAGACACACAGTCAGTCATACAGACACACAGTCGGTCATACAGACACACAGTCGGTCATACAGACACACAGTCGGTCATACAGACACACAGTCAGTCATACAGACACACAGTCGGTCATACAGACACACAGGCTGTCATACAGACACACAGTCGGTAATACAGACACATTCGGTCATACAGACACACATTCGGTCATACAGACACACAGTCGGTAATACAGACACACAGTCGGTCATACAGACACACAGTCGGTCATACAGACACACAGTTGGTCATACAGACACACAGTCAGTCATACAGACACACAGTCGGTCATACAGACACACAGTCAGTCAGTCATAAAGACACACAGTCGGTCATACAGACACACATTCGGTCATACAGACACACAGTCGGTCATAAAGACACACAGTCGGTCATACAGACACACAGTCGGTCATACAGACACACAGTCGATAATACAGACACACAGTCGGTCATACAGACACACAGTCGGTCATACAGACACACAGTCGGTAATACAGACACACAGTCGGTCATACAGACACACAGTCAGTAATACAGACACACAGTCGGTCATACAGACACACAGTCGGTCATACAGACACACAGTTGGTCATACAGACACACATTCGGTCATACAGACACACAGTCGGTCATAAAGACACACAGTCGGTCATACAGACACACAGTCGGTCATACAGACACACAGTCGGTAATACAGACACACAGTCGGTCATACAGACACACAGTCGGTCATACAGACACACAGTCGGTAATACAGACACACAGTCATACAGGTCAATACAGACACACAGTCGGTCATACAGACACACAGTCGGTCATACAGACACACAGTCGGTCATACAGACACACAGTCGGTCATACAGACACACAGTCGGTCATACAGACACACAGTCGGTCATAAAGACACACAGTCGGTCATACAGACACACAGTCGGTCATACAGACACACAGTCGGTCATACAGACACACAGTCGGTCATAAAGACACACAGTCGGTCATACAGACACACAGTCGGTCATACAGACACAAAGTCAGTCATACAGACACACAGTCAGTCATACAGACACACAGTCGGTCATACAGACACACAGTCGGTCATACAGACACACAGTCGGTCATAAAGACACACAGTCGGTCATACAGACACACAGTCGGTCATACAGACACACAGTCGGTCATACAGACACACAGTCTGTACAGTGGGGCTCGACAGCCTTAGTCAAACGGGTCGGCGCGTATGGTTGGGTTGCGGAGAGTTCACGTTACGGAGAGTTTGTGAGATAGTGGTTTCTAACACCGACTCCCGTATAATGGAAATCATTATGAACATCAGCTATGCTAATTATTTCCCATCTGCCTTTCTGCTGTTATCTCGGGACGCTTGTCCCGAGAAAAATGGCGTTCGTCAGGTCCAGTTTTGTCTCCAGCCTCTCACAGGGATTTCGGATGCCCCAACGCCTGTGATGAGAAGACCAACGCCTGTGAAGAGACGACTCAACGCCTGCGATATGTTATGGCGCCGTTTTATACATAAACAATATTTATATTTATTATTTATATATAAACAATATAAATGTAAGCCAGAGGAGAACTGGCCCCCGACTGAGCCTGGGTTCTCCCAAGGTTTTTTCTCCATCCAATCTGATGGAGTTTGGTTCCTTGCCACTGTCGCCTTGCTTTTGGCTTGCTCAGTTGGGGTTATTTAGTGTTTAGCAATATTATTGATCTGTGTTGTACTACTTTCATGTTATCAGTGTGAAGCTGCTTTGATACAATCTGTATTGTGAAAAGCGCTATATAAATAAATGTGACTTGACTTGACTTGACAGTCAGTCAGTCATACAGACACACAGTCAGTCATACAGACACACAGTCAGTCAGTCATACAGACACACATTCAGTAATACAGACACACAGTCAGTCATACAGACACACAGTCGGTAATACAGACACACAGTCGGTCATACAGACACACATTCGGTCATACAGACACACAGTCGGTCATACAGACACACATTCGGTCATACAGACACACAGTCGGTCATAAAGACACACAGTCGGTCATACAGACACACAGTCGGTCATACAGACACACAGTCGGTCATACAGACACACAGTCGGTCATACAAACACACAGTCGGTCATAAGGACACACATTCGGTCATACAGACACACAGTCGGTCATAAAGACACACAGTCAGTCATACAGACACAGTCGGTCATAAAGACACACAGTCAGTCATACAGACACACATTCGGTCATACAGACACACAGTCGGTCATAAAGACACACAGTCAGTCATACAGACACACAGTCGGTCATAAAGACACACAGTCAGTCATACAGACACACATTCGGTCATACAGACACACAGTCGGTCATAAAGACACACAGTCAGTCATACAGACACACAGTCGGTCATACAGACACACAGTCGGTCATACAGACACACAGTCGGTCATACAGACACACAGTCGGTCATACAGACACACAGTCGCAGTCGGTCATACAGACACAAAGTCAGTCATAGTCGGTCATACAGACACACAGTCTTTCATACAGACATACAGTCGGTCATACAGAAACACACAATCGGTCATACAGACACAAAGTCAGTCATAGTCGGTTATACAGACACACAGTCGGTCATAGTCAGTCATACAGACACAAAGTCAGTCATAGTAAGACACACAGTCGGTCATACAGACACAAAGTCAGTCATACAGACACACAGTCAGTCATACAGACACACAGTCAGTCATACAGACACACAGTCAGTCATACAGACACACATTCGGTCATACAGACACACAGTCGGTCATACAGACACAGACTGTCATACAAACACACAGTCGGTCATACAGACACACATTCGGTCATACAGACACACAGTCGGTCATACAGACACACAGTCAGTCAGTCATACAGACACACAGTCTGTCATACAGACACACAGTCAGTCATACAGACACACATTCGGTCATACAGACACACAGTCAGTCATACAGACACACAGTCAGTCATACAGACACACAGTCGGTCATACAGACACACAGTCAGTCATACAGACACACAGTCGGTCATACAGACACACAGTCGGTCATACAGACACACAGTCAGTCATACAGACACACAGTCAGTCATACAGACACACAGTCGGTCATACAGACACACAGTCAGTCATACAGACACACAGTCGGTCATACAGACACACAGTCAGTCATACAGACACACAGTCGGTCATACAGACACACAGTCGGTCATACAGACACACAGTCAGTCATACAGACACACAGTCAGTCATACAGACACACAGTCGGTCATACAGACACACAGTCAGTCATACAGACACACAGTCGGTCATACAGACACACAGTCAGTCATACAGACACACAGTCGGTCATACAGACACACAGTCGGTCATACAGACACACAGTCAGTCAGTCATAAAGACACACAGTCAGTCATACAGACACACATTCGGTCATACAGACACACAGTCAGTCAGTCATAAAGACACACAGTCAGTCATACAGACACACATTCGGTCATACAGACACACAGTCAGTCATACAGACACACAGTCGGTCATACAGACACACAGTCAGTCATACAGACACACATTCGGTCATACAGACACACAGTCAGTCATACAGACACACAGTCGGTCATACAGACACACAGTCGGTCATACAGACACACAGTCAGTAATACAGACACACAGTCAGTAATACAGACACACAGTTGGTCATACAGACACACAGTCAGTCATACAGACACACAGTCAGGATGCAGGTGCACTAATAACTGGCTGGAAGTAGACCTCTACTTAATATTGCTCAAACAGAAACAAAAACCCACAAAACATCAGGGGCCCTATTTTAATGATATGAAACGCAAGTATCAAGCGCAAAGCGCAAAGTAGCTATTTTACCAGCGGGATAAATGACTCTCACGTCCGACGCAAGTTTACAGTAAAAGGGGTTGGTCTGAAATAGATTCATTATTCATAGGTGTGGTTTGGGCGTAACGTGAAATAAACCAATCATTGAGCATCATCCAACACACCCTTTAAAAGCAGGTGCGCATGTTGCATGGCGGATTGATATTTTTATGGCTTATTTACCAGGTGATTTTGAAGTCTTCAGATTTTTCTTGAAGGACAAACTAATTTTTAGATGTCATTATATACATGTGTCTTGCCACTATTGGGCAAACAGGTCTGATCCATCCTTACAACAATTAGCCGGAAAATTGTTTCTACAATTTTTACATCTTCATGGACACCACAATGATTTCCCTCATGTGTTAATAGTTTTCCTTGTTATAATCTATTATTTGCAAAAATAAAAACTGCATCTGCAGCTGCATCTGTGTTGATGAGAGAATTAAAGTGTATTCACGTTGTTGTGCAGCCGCTACATTATAGCCAAGCATGCACGCTTAAAATAGCATTATGAACAACGCGCCACTGACTTTAGACCAGGTTTTTTCTGGTCGGTGGCGGAATTGTTTTCTTAAACTGCAAAATAGCACTAGGGAATGTTTGCGTCGCCTCTTTTTGCGCCGACCTGCCCAAGGAGCGCAAGTTCATTTCCTAGTTTACCAACGTGCGTCTGTGGAGGGAAAAGCCCGCTTTGCGCAGGGTGCAAAATAGGAATGATACATGCGTCAGTGTATAAAGTCATGTGCGCCGCGTGCAAGATAGGGCCCCAAGTCTGCATCGCTATCTGAGCAATGATTGAATGTTGACATAATACTGACATGATGTTAAGATTGTACTGACTGCCAGACCCTCACAAAGGACGATGCGAAGAGCTTTGGCAACATCACAGGGACCGACAGAGCCGTCTAAATAGAGCTCGTTATGAGGATTCTGGCAGATGCTGATACTGTGAACACAACATCCCCCTGTTCTCCAGCTATAGCTGGCTAAAACACAGCACCACTATTGATGACCGGCTGAATGACTTAGCAGTGTAGCATTTAAAGGAAGGAAACAGTGGTCTTTGTACCTCCCAAAAGCTGTCCATGGCCTCATCAGAGACAGTGGATTCATCGTAGGAGCCAGACATCGTGCTGGGTGATGCGAAGCAAGACTGAACACGTCTGCAGGAAAGCGGACTTCCTCAAGCACTAAAAGAGAGAGAGAGACACAGAGACACTGTTTGGACACCTAAGTAACACTCAAAATGTGTATGAATGCCATTTTAATAGATAACTAAATATCAAACTAACTGGAATTTGTTTGAAAGAAAGCACAAGCACACATTTCAAACAAAACATGTCACAAACCGTTTGTCTGAAATGATAAAACAAAAGATACTCATATTCAAGAGAAGAAGTGCGATTATCAAACACTAGTGGAATAACCAGAGGACTTCATTTATAAAATGTTACGTAGAAACGTCCTCCATTTGATTCAATATCATTTTCTCAAATGTGCTAACGTGATTCAGAGAAACGATTGTGCGCCTATCTTCCAGTATGAAATCTTTTTCTGCGTTATCCACCTTTTTCCTGACGAGTTTGGGGAAGTTCCACTCAAAAAAGACAGAAACAAACCATTTCAAATCATAAGGTTCGATGGGTTCGCAAACTGTGTGCAAATGTTTTCATGATTCATCATGAGTGAATAAGACCCAATGTCATCTCATTGTACCCACTTTAAAAAAAAAAAAAAAAAAAAAAAAAAAAAAGAAGTGTATTATGGCGTTCACAGAGCGAACCTCTCACTGATCGTTTACCAGGAAATGTGAGTACGCCAGCTTAAAACATGGGGCCTATACCATGAAGACGGTTCAGTTTAGCTTGCACCAACCCTTGGTTTTAGGCACCATGAAAGTGGTTTGGCTTTCAGTTCACCACAACAGTAATGGCTAACCTGTTCTATGTAATAGATCTCAAACTAAAATTGGACCAATCAGCTGTGAGTAACACGTCTGATGCAATAAAGTCACTCCCCATGTTTGTACTCCAAATCAAAGGTTTTTTAAAGACAAAATTTAGCAAAGCTTTTTTATATGCTTTAAGTATCTCTACCTATCAGACAGCAACATGTTGTCAGCCCAGATCCGGGCCACATCTGGTGCATGTGGATTTTATGCACTATTTTTATACACTATGTTGCTGTCTGGGTAACTTCACTACTTTAACTGGCACTGATATAGCAAGATTGACTTCTTTTAGTTTGGTCAAAGACAGCACTTTTTTAAAACAGTGAAAACACAAATTGCTGAAAATGTCAATGGTGGGGAAAGAGTTAACCAGACAAAAGAAGTATTATATTTAAAGTATAAAATATTTTATTGAAAATAAATAATAGGGCTGGGTATTGAGACAAATTTCACAATTCGATTCGATTTCGATTCACAAGCTTTCAATTCGATTCGATTTTGATTACGATTCGATTCGATTCAATATCGATTATTTTGGGTATCAGTTACAATAAATGGCAATTTTTCTCAAGGGAATTAAATCTCTCTAACTAATGATGTAAACTATGGGAGACTAGTTGTAGCCTACTAGGCTTCATTAGCCTAATAGGAAGGTAATAATGAATGAATCACTTAAATTACACTTTTATTTATTTTTATAATAAGAAGATTATATGAAATATAAACATTTAAATGGTGGCTGTCATAAAAACTTGCTAGATTTATTAAAATATGCATTAAATATTGAAGAACTTTAAGATTATAATGCATATGTAATATAGTGTATATATTTAGCAAAATGCTCCTCTCTGGAGTTATTTTTTCTATTTGACTAACGAGTTGATGTGGGTCTTCTGAGGTAAATATGACGATACATTGATTACAAGCTGTTTAACTGACGTCTTTCCACGGTTGAAACGCTGATTGAGCGAATGAATGTGACATGATACGGATTCCGATAAGTTGTACTCTATCTTTTAACACACTTTCAGATGCTCATTCATGTTTATTTCGCGCTGTGACTGGTATTATTAACCCGGAAGAGAGATCAGCGCTGCTGCTTCTCCAGAGCGATCTCACGCCACAGCGCCAAAACTCTATTTATGTTTTTGAATTTCTAAAGAAAATGGACGTAATTTGAAAATTGAGACTTTTTTTCATATCAATAGTAACAAAGGACAAAGATTATTGCGATTTTTTAAAAATGCGCGCGGCCGCGATACAATGTCCCATTCATTCAAATGAAACAGGATGACTAATCGATTCTTGAGACTTAAGAATCGATATCGGTTCGTAAAAATGAGAATCGATTAATATCGAGAAATCGATATTTATTACCCAGCTCTAATAAATAACATTCAATTGAGTGAGTGAAAACCTTGCATTCAGTTTGCACTTATGCATAAAAGTATATTCTTTTGCATATTTTCGTAGTAAAGACCCTTTTTTCAAAAGTGTGCTAAAGTGTTCTTCTTTTCACAAGGGTTTGGCAGATGCATATATCCAAAGTGACTTGGCATTTAGGAAGGCATGCGTTTTATCAGTTAATGACTTGCTGGAAATGCCATGACCTTGTGCAGTGCTCCGCTGTGTGAGCTGCAGGAACACTCCTGTGAACACTCATTCGTCTGCTGACTACATGCACAAAAAGGCCAGAAATGCTATGCTACTAATTAACGCATTTTATTTACTGCAGATTGCTTAGCAAAAGAAAACAATTGCTGTCAAAACTAATTACAGCAAAAATAAAGCAGACACTTTGTGACCCACTCTACCTCAACATGGCTTCACAAACCTAGAACTAGATCTGAGGCTGATACACACAGATTCATAACATTGTAAACCTGGACCCCTGAGCAATGCACAAGTGAATGTGGTTTAATGAGTCTTTAACCCAGTTTCTAAAACCCAGATTCCTTAAGCCCACAATGTCTGATGACACAAATTGAGCAAAGTAAAGGAAGCATAATGACACAGGCAGCCATCTTGTAAGAGTCTGCATATATACATTATACATGCATACATACATACATACATACATACATACATACATGCATATATACATTATGCATACATATATACATAAATACATGCATGCATGCATACATGCATACATACATATACTGTATACATTATGCATGCATGCATATAAGCAAAATAAATACATACATACATGCATACATACATACATAAATGCATGCATGCATAAATACATACATACATGCAGACATAAATACATACGTTCATACATACATTATACATACATACATGCATGCATGCATAAATACATACATACATACATACATACATACATACATGCAGACATACATATATACATTCATACATACATTATAAATACATACATGCATGCATCCATACATGCATACATAAATACATACATACATACATGCATACATACAAACATACATACATACATACATACATACATACATACATACATACATGCATGCATGCATACGATACACACATACATACATGCATACATAAATACATACATGCATACATAAATACATACATACATACATACATGCAGACATAAATACATATATACGTTCATACATACATTATACATACATACATGCATGCATCCATACATGCATACATAAATACATACATACAAACATATGCATACATACATACTGTACATTCATTAAAAAAAAGTGATGTTTGCATATTCAAGGAAGCCACGCTGAACTAAAATCACTGAATAGTGATACATTAACAGAAGGGTTCAAACAAAACAGAACATACTGCAAGATCAATCAGTAGAAAATGGAGCAGATACTGGTAATTTTCTGTCAATACATTTTTTGTTAGGTTTAAAGACATTTCCTTTAAGCCTAAAAAAAAACATAAAGCGGATTTCAGAACACAACGTGAAAAATCAACATGGAAAATCTAAATCTGAACACTACACTGTGCCCAATTTTCCAGACTTTTAGAGAATAAATGGATGGTTTAATGGGATTTTCTACATTCATTTCTGAGAAAGCAGTTTATTCCTTCTGCACAATGGGGCACTGTACACTAAATAAACTATTTAAGACAATAAAGAGTGTTTACACAAAATATATTCTTACATATTGACCTTTTTTTTTTTGCTCAACACACTTTTAAATGACCCTTTCTAGTGTTATCTCTACAGATTATTTAGTTGTTATGCAAATTCACATGAACCATTTAATGAAATCATATCCACTTCACAACATGTATGATGATGCCAAGACTCGTTACATTTATATTTAATCAGTCACCATTTAAACAGCATGCCGTATAAAAACATTGAGGCGAAGCTGATATCAGCAATCCCTTTGTGTTCGGTGTCAGGAGGACAACAGTACAAGTGGTGTTGACGAGACGGGAATATGATGGCAGACATCGTGAACAATGTTTCTATGTGCAGTTTGTTAACATATAACATTAGACGTCGTCTTTTTGTCTAATGACTGTACCTAACATATGTCGTTCATTGTCAAAACACTGGTGTAAACACAGTTTGATGTTGCGATTTTCACTGCCCAGAGCCTGTTAAACTTGAGCCAACCAACCCCGTGACGTCACATGTGTTAGAATACTGCACAATGATGGCGCTCTGGTGGCGAAAAATATAAAGTTTTTTCTTTTTTTCTTTTATATGTTTACATTTGTCATGATTCTTATATTGTCATGATTCTTATAATTTTTGATTACAGTGGAAATCCATCTTCCATATCATGTAAACTTGATTGACTGTTTCATTTCCCCTGTAGATAAAAAAAAGGAGATATGTCACAACTAGGGGTGGGCGATATGGAAAAAATATCATATCACAATTCTTTTTTGGAAAATCACGATCACGATTTTTTATCACGATTCTTTTTCAATTTGGTTTTAATATTTTGCAAGTGGCTGTTCATTACAGCCAAACTAATGTTAAAAACAAATCCTTAGGTAACAAAAGAAAAAAGAAAGGCATACATTTAGGCCAGTGGCGAAGATAAAAATCTTTGTCATTATTTTCTTTTTTTTATATTAAAAAAATAAGACAAGATAAACATTACACAAATTAATATTCAAATTAAATAAATTGTGCTTTATTTTTTCTGATGCAGTAGGTGTATTTAGCAGTAGCATTGAAGAAAGTAATTAAATGAACAAATATGAAATTAAAACACTACATAGACTTCACTGAATAAATTG